TTTCCTTCCCAAACCCCATTTTGGAGAAGGACTGATGAAGTGGCTTGTCAGCGATGGGTGATATTTCACTGCTCACCCTGGGCTTTCATGACATGGGTTTTTTCTCCCTGGTTGTGGCTCTGTGTTGTTGAAGCATCCTGGGGATGTTTTCTGAGCTGCAGGCTGGACCTTGTCAGCATGAAATAGTGTGAGCCAGCAGACAGAGAAAACCCAAAGTAAAGAAATTACATTTCTGAGGATTTCTCCAAGGAATTTCATAGCTGCAAATCTTCATTTCTTTTTAGTACCAAGGTGTCCTCACCCAGAAGCGAGGCTTTTCCAGCACTGGGGGTTTTAATTCTGCTTGTGTAAAGAAATATCTTTTGTTGCAATTAATGTGCTTTGTTGTTTAGTCGTTTTAATCATGTCTGACTCTTTGTGATGTCATTTGGGGTTTTCTCAGCAAAGATACTGGAGTAGTTTGCCATTTCTTTCTCAGCTTATTTAACTGATGAAGAAACTGAGGCAGACGAGTCTTCCTGACTCCAGGCCCAGCACTCTGTGCTGCCACCTAGCTGCCCTAGTTAATGTTCTTTAGCCTGGATTAATTATCTTTTTATCTACATATTCTCTGATTCTGCTATCAGACATATACCTGGATCGTTCATACTCTTTAACTGCTGGCGTATTCTTGCTCAGTCAGCCATCTCTTCTCTGTTTTGGTTGAAATTCAAGAAGGGAATTGTACTTACAGTTCATATTTATAAATGAGGAAACTGAGGCCCACGTAAGTTAGATGGCTTGCCCGAGGTCACATGGATAATAATTAGTAGAGCTAGGATATCTAAATACTGCACTTTGCACAGTTCCTTTCTCCCACCCCCATTTTTTAAGTCGGTGACTAATCTCATGTTTTAACTCTTGTTACTCAAAACAAATCTTAAAATCTTTGATATTAACAATCATTGGATTTACTTTTTCTTTTTTCTTCTTAGAGTCTTTCTTGCATTGATGTGACAGACAACCGCTTTCTGATTCCACACTTAGAAGCTGCCGTTCCTTGAAATTGGCTGAAATTCCCAGCTGCAGAGAAGTGATAACACCTTGAATATTGACGGTTTTCTCTGATCAGGGAAGGAGTTTGGAGGTGAAGGAAGTGTACCTCTTTGAAAGTACGGAGTAGACATTTTTGAAAGTGGCTGGGGCCTGTTCTTCCCTTGTGGCCCAAGTGAGGAAGAACTATGAAAGAATGGCATTCGATGACCATTGCGGTCCTCGTCGGACTAACAGTCCGCTGGGCTGTCTCTCTGAATTCTTACTCAGGTAAGGTGTGTTTATGACTTTAAAGATGTAAAAATGCTTTCTCCTTAATTTGTTTGGTAACAGTTTGCAATTGTATAATTCAGAAAATGGAGCAAAAAAAAAATTTGGGTGTCACTGATAAAGTAAAAAATAACTTCTAAATTTGCTCAAGATGCACTGTTGAACGGCTTTATTCTTTTCAGTTGAGTAACTGATTGGGTGTAAAGCAGGTCCATGTCGCATGGTGCCCTGGGAGGCGTGGTGGTCTGTGGTGGCGAAGGAGGGACGACCAGATCCTGGCCCTTTGAAGGGTTGATGCGTGAGTGCAGGACGTGGCATCTGAGGACAGGGGGCCATCTATCACCGTGTCACTCGCTGCTCTGGGACTTGGTCTCCTCCTCTGTAACAGGAAATAGCAAACCACTTCAGTATCTTTGCCAAGAAAATTCCAAATGGGGTCACCAAGCGTTGGATGTGACTGAAAGAGCTGAATGACAACACTAATAGGCTGTGTTGAATGTATTTTTTTGACAACTAGGTGGCCCAGTGGATACCGTGCTGGTCCTGGAGTGCGAAAAACTCATTTTCCTGAGTTCAAATCTGGTCTCAGACACGTCCTAGCTGTGTGACCCTGGGCGAGTCACTTAACCCTGTTTGCTTCAATTTCTTCATCTGTAAAATGAGCTGGAGAGAGAACTGGCAAACCCCTCCAGTATCTTTGCTGAGAAAACCCCAGATGGGGTCAGGGACAGTTGGACGTGACGGAAAAGTAACTGAACAACAGATTCCCCTCCTCCATCTGCTTTGTCACTTTTGGTGACACAGCTGTGTTCCGGGCTCTTCTTCCATAGCAAACGAAAAGGAAATTCACCCCAGTCTGAGCCTCTGGGGGGCAGCCGAATCGACCGTTTTTACTAAATTGGCTAAGTCAGACTAGCTCTTGTGGTCTTGCCTTATCACGAGGCCCTGGTGGTACTTAGGAGCTCAGTGCTTGAAAAAGATGCGCGGTGGATCTGTTATACGGAGGCGTGTCCTACATAAAAATAAAAATGCAGCCTCCCAGTGACGGGTAAGTGCCACACTGGACAGGTTTGCGTGCCGCGGGTGATTCTTCCCGCCGGAGTTAGAGGAGTGTCGGAAGGCAGGCTCACAGGACGCTGGCTCTGCTGGGGTTGTAAGGGTTAAGCAAAGCAAGGAGCAGCCACGTGCTGTCGGTGGCTGGGTGGTGCAGTAGGAAGTGGGGCAGGCTGGACCACAAGACCTAGCCGTGGCCGGCTCGGCCCTCAGGGGACCAACTGGAACCAGTCACTGGAATTTTTTCAAAGTTTCCTTTTTCCTTTTTAATTACAGACTTAAAAATCAAGAAGACAGATATTTCAGTAGACAAAGGATACGAAAGGGCCTGGCATATGAAGCTGTGACCTGTCATGCCGAGGTTTTTGAAGTGCATGTTGCGTTTGAGTCCAAGCCAGACAAGGCTCTGTTAGGCCCTCGGAGCGTGCCCGGAGTGTGCCGGGCGCAAACCCAGCAACCCCCGCTTCCCCCGCCTCGAAAGCAGGCCCTTGGGACAGGCAGACAAGGGCTGCCGCCTCTCCCCGCTTCCCGCTGCCCTCAGCCTCTGGAGCCCAGTGCATCCTTGTCTTGGTCCATGCGTTCTGGCCTTTCCAAGGTACTTTTCCGTGCACTGTTGTCATCCTGGTATCAGCTGATCAATTGTTCTCCTGGTCCTGTTCCCTTTACCCGGCGTCCCGTCCTACCAGTCTTACCAGGTTTTACTGAATCTCAGTTAGAAGCTGCTGGGGGTGCAGGGGGTGGAGAGCTGGGCTGGAGTCAGGATGTCATGAGTTCACATCTGGCCTCAGACACTAGCTGAGTGACCCTGGGCAAGTCACTCTGTTGGCCTCAGTTTCCTCCTCTGTAAAATGGAGATAATAGCACCTACCTCCCGGAGTTGTTGTGAGGAGCCATTGAGATAATAAGTGCCTGGCATAGAGCCGGTGCCATGTGCGTGCCCATTTCCTTCTTCTGCCCATCTGTCCCATTTCTGTGGCACAGTAACATGTGATTACATACCTGTGCCGTGATTTGTTCAGCCGTTCTCCAGCTGAAGGGCTTCAGTGGTCACTTTCCGTGCCTTTAAAGTGGAGAGGTTCCTGAGGGCCTTTCCAGGTGTCTAAGAGTACAAAAAGAAGACATCTCACCTCATTTGGGGAGTAGAAACGATGTCACACAGAGCAGCTGCTCGATTCCTGATCTGCGCTGGCGGGGTCGAGGGTATGCAATCACCCGCCTCCCCCACGCTGCTCCCTCTCAGGCCAGCTGTTGGGGGGCGTGTTGAGGTCAGAATCTCTGTGATCTCTCCATCTTCTGGAACATTTTTGAAAGTGCCCTTGACACATCTTTCTTTCAAATACCCTGAGTGGTATTTAATTTTTGTTCTTTGAAGGCACGTTGGATTTTGAGGGAAAAAAAGGAGAAACTTGGAGTCAGGTCTGGTGAATGAGGCCTACGGTCAAGATGCACAAAAAATGAGGTGCTGAATCTACGTTGAAATTACTCTGTGTGTGTGTGTGTGCACACACGCGCGCGCACACGTATGGGCTCTAATGGGGCAGCAAGGTGGGACAGTGGATAGAGCACTGGCCCTGAAGTCAGGAGGACCTGAGTTCAAATCTGGCCTCAGACCAAACACTTGACGCTTACTAGCTGTGTGACCCTGAGCAAGTCACTTAATCCCAAATGCCTGAAAAAAAAAGAAGAAAGAGGGCCTTGAGGGGCAGCTAGGTGGCATAGTGGATAGAGCACCGGCCCTGTAGTTGGGAGGACCCAAGTTCAAATCCGGCCTCAGACCAAACAGTTGACACTTACTAGCTGTGTAACCCTGGGCAAGTCACTTAACCCCGATTGCCTAAAAATAAAAAAAAATAAAATAAAAAAAGAAAGAGGGCTCTAAGTCAGGAGGCTGGCATTTTCCTCCTCCCTTGGCCTTGGCCAAGTCCTTTATCATATCTCAGACTCCGTTTCCTCCTCTTTAAACAATGAGCATGGTGTCTGTTCTGCCTACCTCACAGTTGTGGAAGATCAAGTCAGCTATTATAAGAGAAAGCACTTCCTCAGCTGCATGTGCTATACACATGTACTGTATTAATAGCCACAGTATTAATCACCGTAATAATCATCGGGCTTTGAAGGCAGTTCCTAAAATACTTTGTGCTAAATAGAAGCATAATTGGAATAAGGAATACTGAGAAGGGCAGAACACAGAAGCACTCCTGGTACGGTTTTTAAAAAATTAAACTTTTATTAAAAACACCTCTGAACATCAATATGGTTAAGCTTGCTTAGTAAATCTACATGTAAATTAATTTTGAGTGATTTTTTAAGGCAGTCTCAGTCATCACTAATACTTCCTCATCTGCAGAAGCTGTAAAGCAGACTTTGGGAAGCTCCTGATGAAAGTGCCTTTTCCCAGTACTGGCGAACCCCGGAGCACTTACTTTACAAAGGCCCCGGGCCGCGCCACCTCTGAGGTTCTCCCAGCTCGGGCATTTGGCCAGGGCGTCTTTTTTCCGTCCTTCCAGATTGGATCAGCCTCTGTCCGGGGGGATGGTGTTGTTTCGTAGTGTTGTCTGGTAGTCTCATGGTTTCCTTTCGCCTTCTCAGGTTGTCAGGTGTTTTACTTAGAGCCGAGTATGTTGTGGTGGTGTATTTATAAAGGCCAAGAGTCAGCCTCGGGAGAAGAAGGGTTAACGTTCACGTTGGTGTTTCACTGCGACTCACGGAATGAAGATGAGAGGGAGCTGGCCGTGAGGGGGGCGGGCCGTCTGCCTTTCCCCCGTGTTCTGCGTGTGTTGCTTTCATAGGAAGGACTTCTTTCGCTCTGATCTTCTGTGTTCTTGTGGCAGCTTCTTAGTTACCTTGGGATGCAGGCTCTCTGTAGTTTTTCCACACTCTTTTGCCCATCCCCGCCCCATGAGGAAATGGCTCTGCTGTTCATCTTTCCTCTTGGAGAACTGTCGTGACGATAGGAGCATTTTAATGTGTCCAAGTATTGGTATTTTACTGTCTGGGGCTCTATTGTGCGTTGTGATTCTTACTTCCCAGATAGAGTAACAGAGAACCCAGAGAAAGGAAACAACGGCCCAGTGTTCCACAGTGGTTTTCACCGTCATCGCCTGACGCCTTTTTTACCTCGAGGAAGTTGGGCCATGTGATGGTCTTGTTTCATGTCTCTTTCATTGTATTGACCTGAGCCTACCTGCTTGGCACAGGTGAGCTGATAGAACTTCTTAATTGTGAATGAGCAGTTATGAGATCTGTGATCTTTTTGTTCTGGGTGCTCAGGACACATAGAATGTGAAGATGACTCTTCGCCCGCTATGAATTAAAGCGTACTTTTTTTAAGTTACTATAATGTGTTTTTTTAATGCTTGCTTTGGTTTACCCTTTGTCATATTTTCAGATGATGATTGGGAAGTGCTAAGTGTAATGTAGAGAAAAGAAAACCTCTCATTTTTTACATTTTCCTCATAATTTACTCATTCCATTTCCAATGTCAATATACCATTTGCAGTTTACCCTCTTATTTTCCCTGAATTGTCCGAATTTTTCAGATTGCCGCCCGTTGACTGATCACCTGTTTTGACTCTCGTCACAAATAGCCAGCAGACAAAAGTTCCAAAAGAAGCAGCCGGGAGGGTCCCGGGCATCTCTTAGGGTCATGGAGCCTCAGTGGCAAGGTCACAGGTCCCACCCAAGACTTGTTTGTCTTTGACACTGTTACTGATGCCTTCAGAGCTGGTCCCATAGGTGCGTATTGAAAAGACTTGGTATAATCTCTGCTGGTTCTTTTAGTTCCTGTGAGAAGAAAGGTACATGATGACCACTGCTCATTGAAAAAATATAAGGAAGGCAGGAAACGAGACTAGATTAAGCCACTGCTGTATACCAGACACTGTACTAAGCACTTTAAAAATTTTATTTCATTTGATCCTAATAATAACAACTTTGTGAGGTATAGTTATCCCCATTTTACAGATGCGGAAACTGAGGTAAACAGGTTAAGTGACTTGGCCAGAGTTACGCAGCTAGTTATTGTCTGAGGCTGGAATTGAACTTGGGTTTTCCTGACTCTAGGCCTAGCTCTCTGTCCACTGTGCCTTGTAGCTTCCTTTCGAATAGTTAGTATTAAAGGTATGACAGGCACTGTTTAGTTGATTATTAATTTCCTTCCATTTACATTTTGTGATTTGCAGCATTTCCACTCTCCCTAAAAGTGTTAAGTCAGAGATTTTATCATAGACAATTTTAGCCAAATTCTGGGCTCTGAGAGTATGAAGGTTTTCCATTTTCGGGCATATACAGCCGAAGGAAGTATTTGCCTCTTAAATTTCAGCATAATTCTACATAATACAATAACTAAAATATAAAACGAGTATTAAAGCGTGCAGAATAGAGCCGTTTTCTTGAGAATAAGACTAACCACAAAGTTGAAGCCATATAAATAGACAATGCTGTATTTTCTTTGTCTAATTCTGAATTGAGTGTCAATGAATTTGTGGAATTAATCACAGTGCTAGGAATCCTTTTTGCCCTTCCCAAGTGAAGCTCCCTTAGGTACCGTTGGCTTGTCCTTCTGGGTTGGTTTAAGGGCACTTTAGCCGTTTAAAAAAACTTAAGTACTAATTTCATAGCCAGTGTCAGCTGAATTTATTGAACTAGGTCAGACTCTGGATAGAAACTTGTTCCTCAACCCTAAAGAGAGTCATTATCCATTCTTCTGTTTGGTAGAGAATGGTGATGAATTCCTCCACATTGGCCACAAGTCTGGAGCAATTTGGGAAAATCTGGACAGTTGGATTTTCGGGTATAGGAAATTGTGTGAGATCCGTTTTGACCTTAGGTCTTCAGCAAGCTAAGAACTCTAGAAAGGGGATGTATCCTTTTTAAATGTGGAAAGATTATAGAGGGATCTTGATAACAATGGATGATTTTATTTATGTGAAATATCCAATATAAAATAACATCTGTCAGTTATTTGAGCGATAACGTAATTTGTGAATAGTCCTTTGTTTCTCCTTCAGAACCAGTTTGGTTTTGAAATATTTTTCAGTGCATGAGGCCTTAGCGCTGTGTTTACGAGTGATGGAAAATGCAGAACCGTGAAGAAACTTTGAGTTTTGTTTGGGTGACAAAACTTAAGTGAAATGTCTCAAAGAAAATCCAAAACAACCTAAGGGCCAAAACGTGTGTTAGAAACAGTCAGCACTGTGAGGTGTGAGAAGAGGGGAGAAAGTGGTGTTGGTCACAATCGTCAAGGCTGATTGAATCAGGCTGGTATACATTAGGGAGCCCGTAGAGAGGCCAGAGGAGGGGCGCATTTCCCACTTCCCTATTAAAGAGGGCTTGACTCAAAACTCTTACCTCCATTAAGCCTGTGGCCCATTTCCCCTTCCTGTGGGAGAAGGCTGAGCTCAGGAGATGAAGCTACTACTTCAGCTTCTCCCCACCTTGAAACCCTCCAGAACAGTTCCCCAGGAATAAAAGTTCACATTTTTAGGGAGACAGTGACAGCTAGAGTCTTTTGGCTCCATCGCAGCCCTGGAATCACGCGCCTGGTAGGAGCTGAGCCACTGGGCGCTGTGTTTGCTGGAAGCACACATCCCTCTCGTCACCCTGACCCCATTCTGTCCTGCCGCTTCTGCTGCCGGTACATCTTCCAGACCAGAACACCGGAGTCCAGCCTGGGAGGAGCTGCGCCTCTGGGCCCTGGCTCCAGGAGCCCAGGCTTTGCACCCCTCACTCTGAGAACTGTAGGCAGATAAGCTCTAGCATTGTCTCAGGAACAGGCTGCTATCCTCCCTATGGCTTTCCAGACCAGAACCTCCTTGTGGAGTGGTCACCATTCCCCCTCTGTGTCTTGTTTTCCCCATTAGAATGGAAACTCCTTGAGGGCAGGAACTGTTTCCTTTTTGCACTTGTATAACTGGTGCTTGGCATGTTGAATTGTTTCAGTTGTGTCTGACTCTCCGTGACCCCATTTGGGGTTTTCTTGGCAGAGATACTGGATACTGGTTTGCCATTTCCTTCTCCAGCTCATTTGACAGAACAGGAACTGAGGCAGATAGGGTTAAGTGACTTGCCTAGGGTCATACAGCCCAGATTTGAACTCACAAAGATGAGTCTTCCTGACTCCAGACCCAGGCTGTATTCTGCTGCACCACCCACCTGCCCAGGCTTGGAATAGAGTGAGGGCTTAATGCTGAAAGAAAAAGCATTTAGTAAGCGCCGTAGACCAGGTATTGTGCTGAATGCTGGGAATATAAACCCTGCCCTTGAGGAGCTGGCAGAGGATGAGGAGAAGATGTCACATCTCGGAGGGAGTGGATGTTCAGGGGAGTCACCTGACGTGCTCTTTCTAGAAGCAGCGTCACTGGTAATGTGATTACTGTAGTCAAGGCAAGAGGTGTGGAGGGTGGGGGAAAGGCAGATGACAGGATGGCCTTGGTGGATGGTCGGGTGGCTAGACAGGATGTAAAGGGGAAACTTGGTCTGGTATATGGGGCCTGCTAGTGTGTGCGGTGAGCTCAGTGTGATGGTTTGCACTCCAGGTCACCAATCAGCTGGCTGGGCCCTTAGCTGGAAGCTCCAGAGATGAAGAGGTGACCTTCCCCAGAGACCAGGGGGGCTGATTCTGGAGGTCCACTCGGCACTGTGGGGCCGCTGTGGGGCTCCTGCGGGGACTCAGGACACCTAGCGTTGGCCAAGGCGGACCTGTTGAGCTGCAGATGGACTCCCTGATGAGGACTCCTTGCTGAAAGTGGCCAGAGGGGAGGGGGACAGGATCAGCGGGCTTGACCCACCAAGCGCAGCGCTTCGGAAAGAAGACCTGGGGCCCCAGTTTTCTCTCCCACTGTGAGGACTGTGGCTGTTGACGTGAGTGCTGCATCCCCATGGCCACCAGATGCCTGTTTGCTGCTCACGTGGGCAGGGACATCAAGTTAGCTCTCAGACCCAACCCTGCTTCTACTAATGACCACCATTTATGAAGAGCTTGCTATGTGCCAGGCATGACATCCTGGGCAAGAAACACAAGACCTCAAGAGGAGAGAAGGATTGAGTTTTTACCAGTCCTAACATGTGAATGGAAGGGCTTGAATAGAGAGCCGTATTTGAGGATTCAGCAGCAGCAAATCAGGAAGATGGATTTGGGTTTCTGGAACGTGAATTAAAGTATGGCATTGGCATACTTTTGGCCAGGGACAGAGCGTCCATAAAGACTAGCAGGAGCTGATTTTTCTGAGAGTTGTGCAAATCTGATAAAAAGGATTTAAATTAAAATGGAAAAGCAAGGGAGAAATCTTACCTCTGTATGTGCACCAAGCTCAAGCTAGATTTTGTAAGAAAGAAGAAAGAGCTGCAGTGACAGCAGTAAGGCAGTGGAGACCCCCAGAAGATCATAGGAGACAGAAGACAAGAAAGGCCTCAGGCATCTGTAGACAGCCACGTAAGGTCTGCATAACAAGCAAGTTGAACTAGGGATCCTAGTGCAGGGAGGCCTGGGCTGTGACTGCGGCTCTGAAGAGGAAGGTGGGCCAGATTCCAAAGGAGCAGGGTCCATAGAGAGGGGTCACTGCAGGAGCATCACTGACCTCACCCCTCAACTGAAATGGCTTTTTCCAAAGTTACCACTTACGTCTTAATTGCCCCATGAGTGAGGGGATCCCATCTCAGTGCAATACTGCTTTAGATCCTTCAGCAGATTATGCAGCCCGCCCCCTTGGGACACATTAGGGCAAGCATGAGGGGATGGTGGGGGAAATGGAAGAGTTTTTTGTGGATCGGAATGTTTGTAGGCAGCTAGGTAGGGAAAGATTTGTAGGGGCAGTCTGCTGGAAGAGAGGGAGGAAATGGTGTCAGGGTTATAAGTAGAAGGGGATTGCAAAGTGAAACAATTATATTGAAATACGGTCATCAAGAGAGATTTTTAAATACTTTTTTCCAATTACATGTAAAAACAATTTTTGACATTTGTTTTTTCAAATTTTGAGTTCCAAATTCTCTCACTCTTTCCCTCCCCTCCCCCTCTCATTGAGAAGGCAAGCAATTTGATATAAGTTATACATTTGCAATCACGCAAAACATATTTCCATGTCGGTCAGAGTGTGAAAGAAAACAGACCAAAAAAATTCGGGAAAAATAAAGTAAAAAAAAAAGTGTGCTGTGAGCTACATGTCTCTTTCTCTGGAGGAGGATGGCATTTTTCATCATAGGTCTTTTGGAATTGTCTTGTATCATTGTATTGCTTAGAATAGCTAAGTCATTCACAGTTGATTATCATACAGTATTGCTGTTACTGCGTACTACAGTGTTCTCCTGGTTCTGCTCACTTTACTTTGTATCAGTTCATGTAAGTCTTTCTAGCTTTTTCCGAAAACATCCTGCTAATTATTTCTTTTAGCACAATAGTATTACATCACAATTGTACACTCCATCTTGTTTGGCCGTTCCCCAGTTGATGGAATTCCATCAACTTGCAGTTTGTTGCCTCCACAAGAAGAGGCTCTATAAATATTTTTGTACATGTGGATCCCTTTCCTTTTTTTTTCTTTTTTTAATCTCTTTGGGATACAGATCTAGCAGTGGCATTGCTGAATCAAGGGGTATGCACAGTTTTATAGCCCTTCAGGCATAGTTCCAAATCGCTCTCCAGAATGCTTGGAACAGTTTAAAACCTACCAACAGCGCTTTAGTGTCCCAGCCTTCCCATATCCTCTCCAACATTTGTTATTTTCTTTTTCTCTCATATT